TCTAGACGAGTTTCCCGACAACAACCACAATAACAATAGTGCATCCATTTTTAATTAATGATGGTCATTTACCAACGATCGTAATGTTCATTCAAGTTCTTAAAAAAAATTTCCTCGGTCAACGACACATTTTGCTCGTTTTGTCGTTTGAGGGGTTTCTTTTCCTAAAAAAATCATCTGACAAGTCAAGAATTAAGCACCCGAAGCAGACTCGGACTCATATACTACGCCATTCGAGAACACCCAGTAAGTCTCCTCTCACCTATGGTTTAGACCCTTGGTTTAGGCCCTCTTTACCTATGGCTCAGAAGTCAAATGGCCTGCTAACTATTCTCGTATGATCCTGGAACCCTCCCCTACAGTGGTTTGTCGCCACCACCGAAAAGTTCTCAGAAGGCGTACCCCAAGAACTTACAATTGAGATGATTCGAGTACAATCGATCAGGACTATCCCCCTGTGGAAACAGGGTAGCAACGTATTTCGACATATTGTCATGACCAGCCCTCAGAAAAAGAGATCTGAAAAAAGAAAAAAGCTCATTAAGGAGGACATCCATCAATTCTTCGGAAGATCGCAAATGTCGAGGTCCGGAATGTACTCTTTTTTTTAAATGACGATTTTTGCCGTTAAATAATACCCATTACATTTCTACAAATTAATGAGTAGTAGAATTATAAACATACTAAAAACAATTTGAAAAAANAAAAAAGTTTCCAATTCCGCATTTTGTAAGAAAGTATGGCTCATTAAGGTTGGTCCTATCAGTTCGCACACCGGTTAGCACGATGAATTGGGAATCAGAGGAAACCGATTTTTTCTGAATTGTTGAATGCCATTTGAAAATAAAAAAGGTTTGTAGCACAGAGGAGAAATGACTTGGTCCTAGGGGATTTTTGGCATTACTGTTATGTGACATTAGGCCCGATCGCTTCATTGCCATCGCCCCAAAGCATACTCCTCACCCATGCATAATTGAAGCTAAAAAGGCTGCGAATTACCATTAATTAAGTCATAAAGGCCGTTTTCCACATACTTTCAGGCACCCATCAACAAGAAGGTTAATGGAAAGATATAGTGGCATTATTTGAAGCGCTGGAAAACGATTCATGCAGCTGGAATGACTGAACACAGCATAAGAAGTATATGGAAAGGCAAAAAGCTCAAAAGCATAACAAAACGGAACAGCTGCATCAACTTGAGCACAGTAGTGACGCCAAACCATCAAATGGTCTTCAATCCGTTGAAATGCCCAAATTCCAACGAAAACCCTCGCAGAAACCCGGTGCAGAAAGCGGCTTCCACCTCAAGTTCACGTTTAGAGCGCAAATTTCAGTGTCATGGAAGTGTAATGACAATTCAGTCTCTGCTGCTGAACCCTAAATATTTTTTGAATACTTTTCTAAGGTGGTGCCTTTTTTTTTGAAAATAACTCTTGTGGGCCATGAAGTGACTGTGGTATGTTGGCAATGAGCAGCGTTACCTCACACGAACGGTCTTAGGATCGAACCAGATCGGCCGAATTGGTAGTCGCCCAGGCCAACCAGTCCACGAAATCGGCTGATGGGCACCAGAGTTGCCTGGTGAGGTCCCTATCTTTTGTAATTTTTGGTAAATAAATCGAAATCGAAGAGGACTATGTTTAAGAGAACAACTTTNATATGAACGAAGACAGCCGGTGACTATTGACACCGCGGAAGATTTCACGAATGCAACAGCCCAGACGTCCAGATGTTTCAAGACTTTTTCTATGGGTAAAGTACACATATTAAAGACCTTTCCAGATTTTCATGATAGGACACTTCACACACTAAACATTCCAACCACAAGCTTTTGCCAAGAAGTTTTACGGGTTGTTGTGGAAGCACTGGAACGACCAGTAAGCAGGTTACTCCTTTGTGCATCCATCCTGTGATGATCCAGAGCTCCTTTAATCCGAAATAATTCCTGGTCATAACCATTCCCATACCAATTCGTTAGAATCTGGCATGTAGTTTATTTCTAATACGAAAATGCTAAACAATGACTAACCGTCGTCGGAAAAAGATTGACGCAGCAGATGGCTGTAATATGGGATAGCGATGTATATAAGTGGCATTTTGTTCTAAAATACTTGCAGGTATTTTGGTTCATGCACTTTGACTATTGGCAGTGGCACCTTAGATCAAGGTGAGACGCTCTTTGATAACCCAACTGAAATTTGTTTATTTCAGGGCGTTCGTATACGTTGGGGGAAAGAGTTCGTGTAAACGGAGATGGTTTATAAGTTTCAGTTTAGTAAAACGGCGTGAAAATGGGGGTGGTGCAGTGGTCGGTTATGCGCTGCCTCGTAGGCATGGCCCGTGGAATGGCCTTGAATCGATATCCACCCAGGCAAAAAAAACTTCTGACCTCCTGGGAGGTTTGATTGGTGTCAGACTACTCTGTACCATTCGAGACGCCACAGCGATTTTGAATGGAATTAGAATGCGTGGCGCATCCCAAAATGGAACCTTCATCTCTTTGACGTGCGCAAATGATATCCGTGCTATAAGTAATTTAAGACCTATTATATAAAGGCTTTGGGTGATTTGGTTGTAAAATGCTTTCATGGGAGGTGTACAATCCTAATAATGCAATCCATCAAGAAGGTGAGGCATTTGGGGTCTCGGCAGTGTAAGGGATAGCGGTGTCCAGAGACCACAAGTACAGGTTCGAGTCCCGACCAAGTCTGAAATTTTGTCCATAAATCACCAACCTTGTGAGTAAAATCCCATTCAACAAACCGAGGAAACATTTACCATTTGAATTGGATTAGGGGCCCAAAATCATGTTTACAGTACAACTCAAGTAGTACAACGTACAATCATCCACAGTCAACAATATTTTTAGTGCAGAAGATGTAGAAACTGTTTTCATATGATGCTGGAATGTATTTTTATTTACCCAGGGTGTTACAAAAACGATCCAAGATGGATGCGACTTGGGGACAGAAAACGCTGCTACTTGTTGAAGTAGCATCACTCCCTTCCACAAGCGATCGAAAGCCGTTTGCATTGAGGTAATGTTATTTAGAAAGACCTAAACCTTCTCCGAATCACGGTTTGGGAGTTTGGGAGCAGGAGGCCACCTTCAGGTGAAATCAGACTTTGGTGTTCGGCCTTCATTTTGTAGTATTCAGCCGTACCACTGCCGAGCCAGTTGCAGAGATCTTCGAGACGAAAAGGGCACAGAGCCTCCTCGTGCGCTCGCACTTGATTAACTTCGGGGAGCATACTTGGTAGAACCTCCGAAAATCGGCTGTTTTCCTGAGCTAAGGGCACAAATCACGATAAAATGGTTTCTAAGAACTTTTAGGATGAGCCTGTGGACTATTAAGGACAGCTCAAGGGACGCTGTCGGGTCGAAAAACGGCCGAGGTAGAGCGAAATAAAGGTCTCAATACCGGCTTAGCTGAAGTACACACCCAAGGCAGACGAGTTCTCAGGGCTTAGTTGAGGCTATAGAGCTCGCTCCATTCGCACCGGGACGAACACGTTTCGTCCAGGCAGCTTATTGTTGTCAGCTGTACGCAATGACGCACATATTTGGACAACTCGTCCAAACATCCATTGCACATAACTTTTGTGCTACTTTTTTAACATTTCTCCTGTTAGTTTGGTACTACTCAGCACTGGAAACGATCCCCATATGGGTACGTTTCTCTACGTAGCTTTTTTTTTCTAATTCAATGGAAACACCATCACTTCAAGTCATTATTTCTGACTAAAACTAGACGGCACAACAAAAACATTCAGCAAAGTAACAAAGTTTACAAACAATGGCTACAAGACATCATACAGCAGCTACATACGACAATACGATAAAGCAAGAGGGAAATCCGAGACTCACTCAGCTTCCCACGCATTACGCACGTCTTAATATAATTAGTTACAAGCTTCCAGTCTGATGAATTGTGAAGAATTCAAAATTCTAATGATTAAATGAGTCAGAAACAGAACTGAACCATATGATATTATCATGCGGCTTCGATTTCTTGACAATGGAACAGATCTATACCTCACCAATGACTCTCTGACATGTATGTTTATTTGCTTCAGCCTTTCTAAGATTCTAAACCTTATAGGGCTAACATTTCGGCGAGTTCGCCTTCGTCAGTGCCTAAAAAGTCGAAAAACCATTGAGACTGACTCTATAATAAGGCGAGATAAACCCAAGACAGTTCTTTAGACTAAAGACCCTCCGAAGGCTCTGATTGACTATTGTAAAATGTAATCAGCCATGGCTACTGAAACCCTTTAGCTGATGGGTTAAGACGGAAGGAAAACGGTATACAAGAGGCTTACCTTGATCTAAATCGCCGAAGCGTTAGATGGACCACCCAGTGTTTACAGTATGCGTACGATGAGCAAGCCTTCCTCCTTTCTGACCTCACCGTAATCTAGACTCTCTGACAGTTACGGTAACTGGGTTAAGACGGAAGGAAGGTCACTTGCTGATTGACTATTGTAAATCATAATCAGTCATGGCTACTGAAACCCTCCAGCTGATGCATTCCCCCTCAGTTTTTGCATTCGTCAAATCCTTCCAAATTTTGTTGTGCTGCACCTTTTTGGAGCACGTCAAAACGATTGGTTTGCAGTGGCAACTTGGTTCTTCTTGTCCCTCTTTAAATTTCTGATTTACGCTGTTCTACTATTTCCCTACATGGCCACTCCGGTCGTTGGAGCGTATATTAGCGGTAACTCTCCCTAGAAAGCGCCTCCTGAAAAGCCTCGGCGTTTGAATGTCTATCTGACCATGCAATGACTAGTAAGGCAAAGCTTCAAGCAGAAGCGTGATAAAGCGTGATAATAGCGCAAACACGTAAACAATTTATTTACAAACTTCATAAATCTCAAAAATAACAACATCCGAATGGGTGAATGGTCTCCAGAAAAGAAAAAAACACAATTTGATTTGAGAAAGGCTCATAAAAAGGAATGTAGAAGGACCTGAGCTAGGTGTTGGTATCGAGACTGCATCACCATGGTCCGGGTTCTCCTCTAACGGCCTTCTTAAGCCAATCGTCCACTACGAGAACGTTGTACGAAGCAATGAATGTTATCGGAGATGAATTCCTGTCGATCATCTTCCCTTGACTAGCCACGTATTCAGCGTCCTCATTGTTCCACAATACATCAACCCAGTCGACAACCACCTGTCCCCTAAAAAGGAAAAAGGAAACATCAGTGATCGAGCTGTAATGAGCTTGATAAAGCATTTATCTGGCATTATTCATGTTTATTTCGTACTTACTTTCTTCATAGTGAGGTGCAAGGATTAGTATTCACTGCAGTCGGAAGAGATCAGTGCTTCTCAACCGTACGAGAGCGTAAGAGGGTCAGAAGCACTCCGAGCTGCCCCAGAGCTTGGAAAGCCACATTAATAGTATTGCGGCCCTGTCATTCTCTAACCAGCTTATCAAAAAGGAATCTTCGACAACAGCCAATCTAGAACAAACTTCAGGAGGCGATTCCCCGCACTCTTTTTGAAGCACTTCCACCTTCCCATACAACTGAGCGCATTATAAGAGCCCCTTCTAATGTATATCCCTGTCTTTAGAAAGTTCTTCTAGAACCAGTTTCTTACAATCCTAAAAGGTTTTTTAGACGAAAAACTAACGAATAAGAGGATCTCTATTTCCGAACAGTGCTCCTTTCCTAGGCAACGAACCTTTACCTGTGAGTCTATATGAACAAGTTGTGGCACTCAAAAAGGAAAGGACGTACCTGGTATGTGTTCCTGATAATTCAACGTTAACCCTCAAATGCACAGTTTTGCGGGCAACCTTTTCCAGATTAATTGCTGCAGCGACTGCGATCTCATCACAGTACGAGAACTGACGGCCATTCTTCTCCATTGCCGCACGGCCTTAACACTACATTCAACCTTATTGTAGAATGAAACTTCCTTGTGCTTTGTAATTCAAAGCAAACGACCATGACGACTGATGCCCAGCGCGTACAGTATTTTAGTTGGGAGGACTTGGGTCTGGGTGTTAGTCCTTAGTCAAAAATAAATCTAAACTTGAAAATAGAGATGTCGAAGATGTCCGGAATAGAGTCCCGATTAGGCATACTAGCATGCGAGATATACAAGTTGAGAAGGGAAGCAGGGAACCAAGCAGACCGTGTTGTGGACAGAGGAGAAAAATGAAAATCACAGTGGTTCATTTCTGTGAAGGCATCAGAGCAAGCCATTAATCTCGCTTCATTCCCTCAAAGGGGTTAAAATGAAACAGAACTGAGATGATTTGGAGAGGGTAGAGCTATAGAGCAAGAAAAAACTTTCGGACAGTAAGAGGCATAGGGAATAGTTGAAAAAAATCAGACGTTCAGGAAAGGAGCAGTTGGATTCCGGGAAAGAAAAGGCTTTCAACAAGAAGGACCGTCAGCCGAACGGAGCAGAGGACTTCCCATTCTAGGCCGAACTCACTACCACGTACAAGTTATTGTTGAAATAGCGCCCATTTAGATACTAGTCCCTGTTCGAGGCCCCCAATTTCTACTGGAACGGGGGTCAGAGGACTTGCTTCTTGGAGAAATTTCACTATTCAAATCGTAGCACAAGCGCTAGCTTACCTCTGCTGGTTACCGTTCTCAGAAAAGAGGCCAACTTGGTGTCATAATGGAGATGGGCATTGAAGTCCACTTCTTTTTGGTGCTGTAAGCACGCTTTTACGGCATCGCTTTTTGGCTGCTAATAATAAGAGATAAGTATAAATACAAACCTTTGCTCCCTCGAGGAAGAACGCTTCCCATGGAACTATAACCAACCGTGGAGCTAACTTATGAAGAACAATAGAGGCAGCTTCAGGATCGCCGTGGAAATTGAATTCGGCCGACGACTTTGACGCTACGTTTCCGATCCCTTAAGAGAGATATGTACAACTCGTGAAGAAGGAGCTAGGTCTCATGGGCGAAGGAATAGCTTTTCAGGTGTAGTTCTCGTTGAGAATGGCGACAGGTTTCTCTGATTGAAGCTACAAAGAGGCCAACGAGGAGCTAACCGGAAGGAAGGTCTAAGCTAAAATACCCGATCGATAACTTACGAAAACTTACGGATTATGTCGAAAACACCAATCACATACGCGAAGTACACTACCGAGGTAGCTAGGGGCGAAATTCCACAACAACGAAAGTTCAGTAAACTTTAAAAAAAAAATCAGGTGGCAAATTCGGCAAAATCGCTACCGTAGTAGTTTCCTCCCATGATGACAATTCGTTTGAAGTTGAAATTTGGATCTAATTTCAGTGCAAGGGCCACATTAGTAAGTGGCCCTAAGCAGACCAATGTGGCCGTAGGATGTTCTTTGGCAAGTCGAATAAGTGCTATTGCAGCTACATCCTCTGA